AAAGGTTGGGTCAGCTGTGCTAGGTGTGGGTTATGGGCACACTTTCCATTACTGTGGTTGCGAATGGTTATTATCTTCTCATCAACTTGCCACATGTGTGAGAGCCAGCTTTAACTGCACCATTACCCCTCCTGTGAGCGGCACATAACCCATAACAGCTGTCTCAATAACTCGAAAAATCTCGCAGATATTTCTCAACTATTATTTGGGTTATAAGCTGCCATCTCTTACTGATGTAAAACTTCATCATTCTCTCACGAAATCGTAATGACACGATTGCAAACAAACCATACCACGGGTGGGGTTAGAACCCGCGATCAGAGAGTCTCGGTGGCCAATGCGACGGTCTGAAGTTTTGAGACTCTCTGACAGTGGGTTTTAACCCCACCCGTGGTATGGTTTGGTATTTTTTTCATTATTCTCCAGATGTCCTCTGACCCAAGATGTCTGTGTTGTTCGCCCCCCACAGCTGTGAGGCGGATCTTCACCCTTTCAGTATCTTAATACTTTTTTTTTTACACAAATCAGTTTTATAGGCTAAAACTGTTATCCCATCCCATCTCATTTCAAAGCCCCAGCCATTATTATCATCTATCATCCCCCAGGATGCCACCCACACCAGTCGTCTAACACCTACTTACTGCAAGGTGAACAGGGGCAGCAAGTATAAAGAAACATACCAAAGTTTCCACCAGTATCGGAGATCGAGTGCGCTACCGACCAAGCCAAGGGATATTGTGTTTCCATCGAGGTACTCCACTCCATATTAACCCCCTGAGAGAGTTCTTTGTTTCTGACAACTGATCATCAACTACTGTCGAGAATCAATATATTTATTTTATATGTGTATTCGTTGGTTGCATTAAATTTTTCATTATTCATAACTTGCTTCTGATTGGATTATTTTTCTTGTTTGTATCGTAATTATTTTTGCATAGCAGAAGTTAGTAATTCTGGTTATTTTCAATTTACGCCTTTTTATTATTTTAACTGTTATGATTCTATAATCTCTCGACTCACGAAATTTTAGGACTCACTTGCCATGGGTTCGAATCCCACCTGTTCCGTAGTTTCTGTAATCTCTTAGTAAATAGGTAAAGGGGTAAAGGGTAAAGGGGTAAGTGGTAAAGGGGTAAAACTTACATCTCCCACCAAAAAAGAGTGAACGAAAGAATATTAATATTCATCATTATTCGTTTAATACATGTCTTGCCAGAGACATTACAATTTAAATGACCCACGATCTACAACACTTGTAGGTTCTCTGAACCATTTATCTACAGTTGTACCACTACCTCAGAATACAGGTTCTTTGCTTCCCACTTCCAGGACGCAAGACTGGCCAGCAAGTTTCTCTGAATAGGCTCATATTGTTGTGTTCACTCTCCGCCCCACACGAAAGGTGGGTCGGAGAGTGAACACAGCACTCGAGAGTGAGCAAAGGATCTGTACCTGAATACTTCGCAGTCTCCCAAGTGCTACGGGTTTAGGACTTCCCAAAAAATTTAACAGTGGTTACACTCAAACAGCACAGCAAGTCCTTAAAATCTCTTGTAACTCACTCATTTCAATATAACATGCTCGTAGATCTGCTGGATGTTCAGATGCCTACCACCTTTCAGTATCCTTTATCACCTCCCTCCACTCCTTCCTGGGATGACCCCAGCTCGTCTCTCCTTTCTCTTAGGACCTACACACCCTCTTGGTCATCCTATATTGCTCCAGCCACACTAAATGCCCAAACCACCTTACACTAATAATAATAATCTTTATTTCTACAGGTACATGTACAAGGTATACAGATGCGACCCACACCAGTCCACTAACACTCAAGAACCTATTTTCCTGCTAGGTGAACATTAACAGCAGGTGTCTTAAGGAAGTACGTCCTAATGTTTCCACCCGTACTGGGGATCGAATCATAGACCTCAATGTGTGAAATGAGTGAGGTAGCAATGGAGCTACGGAATACCTTAATAACCCCTCCTCCACCCTCTGAATTTACATATTTCTTAACCCCAGACAGTTTGCTAATTTCTACGATCTGAATTAAACTTAAAAGAAATATACCTTTTAGAGCATGCTAGGCCAAGTAAATGTGATAAAAATCAACTCTATAATTGGGAATTATGTTACTTAGAACGCTTTAAGGTACAGACAGGAGTTGCTGAGTCAGACGTAACAAGATTATTATATAACAGAAGCATTTTTTACGAAATTGTGGCTAAATTTGAAATAAAATCAGTAATCTGCTTTTAATGGTAACTAAGACTACGCAACTCCAAGTGGGTAAAATAACCACATTATCAGCGTTACGCACATTTTTATTAAAAGTGACTAACCAGGTTCGTGTCGAGTGGCACACAAAGATTTCTCCTGGAACTACATTAATTTTCGAACACAAGGATACGCTCAGCCGTACTTTTGTCAGTGTGGTGGTCGATGCAGCCATCATCATTTAAAGGTGTAACGAAATGCATCGTTCATGCCGAAAATCCCGACCACAGAAGCTGACTCCAAGTGTTAAGTGCATTAAGCTACTGTAGTTATTTTGAAAGTCATATTAAAAATAATCCATACTTAAGGGTAGGTTAGGTTAGGTTTGTCAGGAAACAGGACAAACGTTTCTTGACGCTGGTGTTAGGTTAGGTTAGGTTAGGTTTGTCAGGAAACAGGGTAAGTGTTTCTTGAAGTGGGTGTTAGTCATATGACGACCCGCACCTGGAGCTTTTGGTCATCTGAGGTTCTCGTTGGTGGCAGAGTATCAACTCAATCAAAGGCAGCATCATTAAGTTAGTCAACAAGTTAGTGGACAAGATATAAGTTATAATATTTATTGTAATATGACTAGTCATAACTATAATAATATAAATGATATTTAGCCATTAGAAGTGTGAGTTATTAAGTCTAAACATAATTTAACAATAAACTATTGAAAAGAATTGATAACAGTTAATTAACTTAGAAGAAGCCTCAGAGATGACCACAGATTCTACAATATACAATCTAAAGCAGGCAAACTAAACCTACCACTTGCAACCAAACACATATATGTTGTGATTTGCACATGCAGTCTAATTCTCTCTAATCTAGATAATCTTACGAGGGATAAAAGGGGATGTAGTAAATTTGACTCCATTCGCAGTTTACTACTCTCAGAAGAGAATAACTTCCCCAAAGCTGGTATTTAAGTTAATATTACTCTCTCTTCTCCTATAGAAACCGAAATTATCAGTTCTCCTGGGACTGAAAGCCGTATTGCTTTTATTTCGTAGGAATGAGTGTAATGTTTCTGTGCTGATACTAATGTGTATGACTATCGACAAGAATTCCTATAAAACTGCCCAGCCTGGTCTTAAACTCTAATTTAGCAATTTCTTTTCCGCTAGACCGTAAGTGGGATGACAAAAATAGAGATAGGAAGGACAGAAGTAGGAGAGAGAACCGTTGAAAGGTTATAGATAGAGAGAGAGAGAGGGGTAAGAAAGACTAGGTGTCCCAATCACTTTGGCTAGGCTTTAAGGACATAGATTTTGTCGCATAGTGACAAGTTTTGCAATTTTAGCTATTCATATATTTAAAAAAATTATCCTAATACGTAAAATTTGAAGAAGCGCAATCTTAGCACTATTAAGTATGTTCTACAAATCTTTACAGTACGAACAAACATATTTAGCTAAAGCCTCCACTATCTGAAGAATTATGTACGTCAGATAAAATATTTTATCAATAATTATAGATTAATGAACGTGAAAGTCAAACAAACAAGATGACAAAGCAGTTATGTAATTCTGAATCCAAGAATACCTATAAAAAATACCACCCAAATGAAAATCTTTTAGGGTTGTAGGAAAAACAATCAATTCCCCAAAAGAAATAAACATTTTTTCTCGAAATCCTAAATTTCCTTCACCAACACAACAGAATATTATCAAAAGTGTCCACCTCAAAGGCGGATTTAAAACCGATGGGGTAAGACAAGTTGCAGGAAGCTGAAGAGGTGGAAAAATCGTATGAAAAGGAGTTGGGGTTCTTGTTGGAGGAGATAATGAAGAAAGAGCTAAGGATAAGGAAGTAAGAGCTACAGGAGGAGGAGGAGGAGAGATTCAAGAAAGAGAACGGGGAATTCTTGGAGGAAAATCAGAAGAACGAGAAGTAGAATAAAGACGATTATTTTTGGAAGGAGTCGGAAAAGACGAAGAAAGAAGAGAAATCTTTAGAGTAGTAACTGGAGGTGGAGAAGAGAAGTCATTGTTAGCAAGCAGGAAGTACTCCCAGAGAAAATGCAGCAGATGCCACAGCAGCAGCTTCAAAAAGCAGCAGCAACAGCAGTAAACCCAGCAGCGGCAGCAGCAACAGAAGAGTTATTGGGTTTCCTTGTAGGTAGCATTTACTGAGGAACTGCAGCAGAAGTAACAGCAGAAGTGGGTGAAGGTTGCCAAGCAGGCAGCACCCACCAAAGAGGAGCAGTAGAAGCAGCATTAGCAAAGTAGCAGCAGCAACAGCTACTGTAACAGTACTAGCAACAGCAGCAATAACACGAATTACCAAGCATGCGGTACTTACCGGCGAAGTGCAGTAGCAGAAGCAGCAGCAGCAGCAGTATCAGCAGCAGAAGCAGCAGCAGCAGCAGCAGTAGCAGCAGTAGTAGCAGCAGCAGCAGCAGGAGAGGGTTTAAGGTACCAAAAAACAGGACGCACTTACCATGGAGGAGAAAAAGGAGGTGGGGGAGGAGGAAGAAGAGGAAGGAGAGACGGAGAAGGAGAAGCAGAACCAGAAGGAACAGAAATATCAGTAAGACAGCAGAATCAACAGCAGACGTAGCAGCAGTAGTAGCAGTAGCAACGGAAACAGCGGCAGCAGCAGCAACAACAGCAGTAGCGGCAGGATCAGCAGCAGAAGTAGAAGCAGCGGCGGCAGCATCTACAGAAGTTGTAGCAGCAGCAGAAGTAGTAGCAGCAGCAGAGCAATACGGTCACCAAGAAAGCAACAGCACTTACCGAGGAACAGTGACAGCACATGATGTCGGTGACAGCTTTGCGTAGCCCCTTGTGGAGTGCCAGGAACAACGCAGGATTAACGAAGGCGTGGACGTACGCTACGTGCAACGTCACCTGCAACAACAAGATTAGACTTTAAAACTTGCAACTCAGCGCGTACTCACCTAGTTATACTCACATAGTTGTACTCACCTAGTTGTACTCACATAGTTGTACTCACATAGTTGTACTCACCTAGTTGTGGTTGCAGGGGTCGAGACACATAGTTACACACACACACAAACACAACTTCAGCAGGCATTATTAAATAAAATTATGAAATTACTTATAGATCGAGGATTCTGGGAACCTTGATGTACAGTTGTGTACTAAAAGTAATGGAAAGAAGCCTTGGGAAACTTTTATTAACGTGATTTTAAGATAAAAATTTATAAGGCGGCCAGCAGAATGAGACATAATGTTTTCTTGGCAACGTAAATCATTTTGACAAATTTCGTACAAAACTAATAGCATTATTATTATTATTATTATTATTATTATTATTAGTAGTAGTAGTAGTAGTAGTAGTAGTATATTCTTACTACTACTACTACTATTACTTCTACTACTACTAATATTATTACTACTCTTACTACTACTATTGCTATTGCAACTATTACTACTACTACTATTGCTATTGCAACTACTATTACTACTACTACTATTGCTATTGCAACTACTATTACTACTACTACTATTGCTATTGCAACTACTATTACTACTAATATCATTACTACTACTGCTACAACCACTGGACGTATTAGATATCTAATGAAAACAGTTACTGTTATACTTAAAACTTTTGCTAATGTGGATCACTTTACTTATTAAAAACTACTGGAAGAGCACTTTCAATTTTGTCTCATATATATAATACATTAAAAAAGATCAACACTTAGGTTTTATAGAAGGAAGTTTCCAGTAAGAGTTAAACTGTGTTTTATTTTCATTTGACTTCAATTATACGTTGGCAAAATCATTAGAAATGTAACTTATATGTTATTAGAAATGTAACTTTTGTGAGAGTCGTAGAATGGGAGGAACGAAGGTAGGTATTCGTGTCTACGCTGATGACACAGCCTTAAAACCCTTAAACTGTCCAACAAATTTACGTTCACATTCGTAGTGCTCCAAAAATAGATCTATATTATTTTACATATTTTCAAATATAACAAAAAAAAAGGTACATCAAAGTTTTATTTACACGTTTTCAAATGTAAAAAAAAAAATGATGATCTATATTTTTTTTACATACTTTCAAATTTTGAAAAAACGTAGATCTACGTTTGGACAGTTTAAGGGTTAATTTGCTGGGTCACAACGCAGTGCTGTAGCGTGTTATCATGAACACAAATATTAGTCTCGGACATTAACGACTGGCAGGAGCAGAACCGTAGGTCGTATATTAACATGTTAACGTCTAGAGTGATTGTTATTGTGTTAAAATAAGAGGGAAAATTAGATGTTAGGAAATATTAGTCTCCTCGGGTCATCTACATGATAAATCACTTCAAGACAACAAGAAAGCTGAGTTTAAGCTCAGTAAGTCAGTGATTCTCAACCAGGGGTAAATTCACCCCCGGGGGTAATAATTACATGGCAAGGGGTTAAAATTTGATGTACCTGATAACTGAATAAATAATTGAATAATTTATTTTCTTCTGACCTTGTTTTTCTGCCCCTTTATGATGGCGGTAATTTTTTTGTACGGAAGTAAAGGGGTAAATGGAGAAATACATCAAGCCGAGGGTGTTGATGATGGAGGAAAAGTTGAGAATCACTGACTGTACGGCATTTGTCTTTTAATACTATGGATAGTTTTAGTAATTATATTTTCATCTCTTTTAACACATCATTCTATTATACTTGAAAACACATTTTAAATTTCTGAATATATTCAAGTAATCGTGTTATTGCGGACGTGTTTAATTATTTAGTTTTAAAATATTACATTTCTTAGAGTGAATAAGAAACATTATGTTATGCTACTGTAACGACGTTTCGCCCGCTAGGGACTTGATGAAGTCCCTGGCGGACAAAACGTCTTCACATTAAACTGTCATAACCAACATTGTGTGTCTTATTTATATTCTATCGATACATTCTACCACCGAAATACATTTCGTTTATTACACTGATAATACTACTAGACGCTGTTAACTTAGGTTAGCAGTATTACACAGCCACACTGACATGATCAGATAAGAGGATATTTTTCCAGGAATGTCAGTGTTATTTAAAAACACTTATAATATTGTTGTATCAGTCTGTGCAACTAATGTTATTGTTGTACTGATGTTAGTAGAATTACTGATAATGTTAGGTAAAAGGACACAGGTGAGACTAATGTGACATTTGCTTCCTGGAGTAGCTGCTTGAAGGAACACGAGTTTCGAACGAAAATTAGTTTCTTTTATCCGGCTTTAATGTTACTTGATTTTTTCATCCTTACGGCTATAATATTTATAAAAATATTTGGCCGCTTCTCGTCTTTCGTAAACTGAGTATATGAGTATATCTGATGGTTGAAGTATCTTTTTACGAAGGTCAGTACAAATTAAAGGATACTGATTGATAGACTGACAGCACCAGCACTGTTATCACCATCACACACACTACCCACCAGACTCTTCACCAGCAGTCTTCACCAGCACTCTTCACCAGCACTCTTCACCAGCACTCTTCACTATTATCATCAACACTTCTCCAAATGCAAAACTTCTCACCAGCAACATCAGTGGTAGCAGCACATTACCTGACATGATCACTTTCACCACACATCCAGCCAGACTGGTCAGTATGCAGTACCTACCTCGTGGCTGAGTCCTGTCTTGCCTCCTGACGGTGTCAGGAGTGTGACGAGGAAGAGAGGACCCCAGAAGACAACATAAGCCACAGTCACAACCACAAACATCTTTACCCTCTCCACACCCTCTCGCTCCATCCTGGTAATGTAGTTGTTGACCTGGTGATGCTCCCTTGCTTCTGGGTCTGTTGGAGGGGCAGACAAGGTGACTAGGTGAGTAAATCAGGTTAATGGACGGGAGATAAGATGTGTGGGAAAACTTTAGTTCATAAAAACATTGGTTACGAGGAACCTGGGGTAAGCCAGGTAACAATGAATCAAGCCAGGTGGTACTGTAGCAAAGGTGAGCCTGAGGCCAGGACGAGGTAAACAAGAGGCAGGACAGGAAAATACAGTTAAGAGGTGAGGAGAGACGCAACCTCTGTCTAAGACACGGTAACTACAGCCCAAGAAATAACTACCACAGCTCAAGATATGACCAGCAATGTTCAAAACATGACCAACACAGTTCAACACAATCAACACAGCACAAGACATGACCAACACAGTTCAACACGTGACAAGACATGCTGAGAAAGCCTTGGTAACGTTCCCATTTACACAGATGTTAAGAAGAATAACGAAAAATTGTAGATTGATTTGTGTTCTGGGTGTGTTGGCTACAGGAATACTTCCTCACCCTCAGTCCTTGAGGAAATGTAATGGGTACTTCATACGTGAACACACGCAAATTTAAGAACATTTATCCCCAGTTATTCTGGAAGTGCAAATTGTGTGTGCTCGTGGGTAAAAGATTATAATTGTCCACCCGTTTAGTCCGTGAGTTCTAGTAGGAACAGAAATGAAACAGATCGTTCTTGTTGGTTGGTATTCGAGAAACAGGAAACTTTGGTGCGTGTGTGTGGGGGAGGGGTCGCGGAAGTGTGTATTAAGGTATCAAGGAAAGAGAGATATTGTTATCTGAATTCCCTTTTAATGCAAATTTGATGGATGGCTCTATTTGGTAAGTTCGTCTCTCAGATCACTAATGATCTTTCGTGTGAGGCGATGACAAAAATAATCGTCAACGTAATGTAACCTCAGTCTGCTGCTTGTGATGACGTTATTGCAACGTTCTGCCCAGAAGTGTTCAATGAAAATTAGGTTTATAAAGCGCTATAGTGAAGATACTTTGCGTAAAAGCGATATATATATATATATATATATATATATATATATATATATATATATATATATATATATATATATATATATATATATATGTCATGCCGAATAGGCAGAACTTGCGATCTTGGCTTAAATAGCAACGTTCATCTTGCCATATAGGACAAGCGAAAATTTGTGTATGCAATAATTTCGCCAAAATCATTCTGAACCTAACGAAAAAAATATATTTCACTGCGTTTGGTTAGTATTAAATTATGTAAACGTATCTAAAATATATTTAGTTGGGTTAGGCTAAAATAATTTTTTTTTGTTATGATAAGGTTAGGTAAGTTTTTTAAGATTTTTTTGGTGCAAAATTAAAAATTTTTACATTAACATTAATGAAAAAAATATATCTTTAAACGTATAAGAGAAAATTTTAGAAAGGACTTAATTTTAAATGAGTTCTTGCTAATTGACCAGTTTTACATATTCGGCACGACATATATATATATATATATATATATATATATATATATATATATATATATATATATATATATATATATATATATATATATATATATATATATATATATATATACATACATACAGTGGAACCTCAAAAATCGAACTTTATCCGTTCCAGGAGCTAGTTCTAAATTCGAAAAGTCTGAAATTCGAAGCAATATTTCTCATAAAAAATAATGGAAATACAATTAATCCGTTCCAGAAACCCAAAAATATTCACAAAAATAATACATTTTATAGATATTAATTACAGTTTTACATACATACAACAAATGTTATAGTCTTTAATTAAGTATAGTAATATAAAATAACATTTTTACTTACCTTTATTGAAGATTTGTGATGGCATATGGAGTCATTGGTCCCCAGTCTCACAAAATAACTGTCTACAGTCCTCTGTTTCTGTCTCACAAAAATACTGTCTACAATCGTCTGTTTGTCTCACAAAATAACTCCACAGTCGTCTGTTTCTGTCTTAAAATAACTGTCCACAGTCGTCTGTTTCTGTCTCACAAAATAACTGTCCACAGTCGTCTGTTTCTGTCTCACAAAATAACTGTCCACAGTCCTCTGTACATCCTGGCAAGTTCAACAAGTCTCGCACCACTCTCATACTTTTGTATTATTTATTTCTTCACATCTATGGTGTTTCTCACTTTCTTTACCACAGGGGTACCGCTAGCAAATTTCTTTGGGCCCATGGCAGCTTATTTCACAGTCCCACAAGTACTAAACACAACGAAATAATCGTAAAATTTGTGAATGAGAGCGCAGGTTAGTGTTCACTCAAGCATAAACAAAGCTAGACTGCTCACGGCGCCTGCGCGGGGACGCGGACAGAGCGGGCCAGCGGACAGGTCCCGTACCCGGCGGTCCGAAATTTGAAACGCGTTCGATTTTTGGTACACAGTTTGTCCGAAAAAATGGTCTTATTTTCGAAACGTTCGATATTTGGTACGTTCGATTTTCAAGGTTCCACTGTATATATGTATATATATATATATATATATATATATATATATATATATTATATATATATATATATATATATATATATATAATATATAATATATTATATATATATATATATATATATATATATATATATATATATATATCTATATATATATATATATATATATATATATATATATATATATATATATATATATATATATATATAATTATATACATACATACATACATACATATGTACATACATACATACATACCTGATAGAAGGGAAATGAGGAGTGATGGTCCGTGACCAGGTGTCGGAATGGGTGCATGTCATGAGGATGAGTCCTAGAGAGGGTGCTGTTTTTCGTACACGTGAATGAAATGACTGATAAAATAGATTGAAAGGCTAGAAAGGGATCTAAACAGGCTACAGGCCTGGGATGACAAATGGCTCCTGGAGTTTATCCTCACTAAATGCAAAGTTATGAAGCTTGTGAATGGGCAAAGAAGATCAAAGACGGAGTACAGCCTCGGGTGTTCAAAGATTTCAAACCTCACTGAAGGGTAAGCATTTTGGGATGAGTATCATACCGAGCACATCTCCTGAGATGGTTATCAACCAATTAACTGTTGCAGCATGTGGGCGCCTGGCAAACCTAAGAACAGCGTTTCGACATCTAAGGGGCCATTTACGATGCCACACCGTGTACTTCAGGCCCATGTTAGAGTACGAAGGACCAGTATGGAACCCACACCTGGTGAAGCACGTCAAGAAATTAGAGAAAGTCATGGAGGGAAGGGATATGTCCCATAAGGAGAGATTAAGGGAGCTCAACCTGATAACACTGGAGGACATGAGGGATAGGGTGGATAAGTTAAAGACATACAAAATGCTGAGAGGAAATGACAAGGTGAACAGGGGCAGAATATTTCAGAGAAGGGATACAGGAAAAGGAGTCAGAGGTATGTTAGGAAGTATTTCTTCAGCCTTAGGGTTGTTAAGTAGTGGAACAATCTGGTGTAGCTGAGGCGATATCTATACACAGCTTTAAGAAGAGGTACGATAAGGCTCTTGGAACCGGGAGAAAGTGGAACTAGTAGCAACCAGCAAAAAGGCAGGACCAGGAGTTGTGACTCGACCACTGAAACGAATATAGATAAATTACTGAGAGGGAAACGTACATCAATACCACATGCAGTCTCAATGGTGCGGTGAGAACTGAAGAATGACCTGAATGACTGTTGTTTATGCATGGTTAATGTGGTCGGTTTCAGGAAGACAGATTACATATTACAAGTCAACACTGAAACCTGTGCCACACCGTGAGAACACTGCTGTACCTGTTCCACCTGTTGTTTATGATACTGAAGGTGATAGTGGAAGAATCTGATAACACTGACCTTTACAAACAACCAGAAGTTGAGATTTTCAAACAACCTCAATCACTCAACAAGAATTAAATGACCTTGTCAGGGACCTTGACGTATGAAAGCAGAAGGCACAACTGCTTGGATCGTGCTCTCAGGATCCAAACCTTTTAGCAGAAAGGTAAAAAAATTATCCCATTTCCATGCGCGCTATACTGGTTTGGCGACACTCCATCAGACAGAAGATGGTGTGTGTTTCTGCACTGAAGTGAATGGTCTCATGATTGAGGTGGGATTCATTCATTCATTCATTAGGGATTTGCCGGTAAACCATACCCCCGGCCGGGATTGAACCCGCGGTCATAGAGTCTGTAAAAACTTGCATTTGTGGTCACAGAGGTGCCTGTGCTAACTTTCCTATGGTGTTGAAATATACCTAGTTGGATGAATCTTATTGTGGCTAGCTGGTCTAGTGGCTAGCGCGACGGGCTGGAGTTTTGAGACTCTATGACCGCGGGTTCAATCCCGGCCGGGGGTATGGTTTATTTGCAATCGTGTCATTACGATTTCTTAAGTCATGTTGACGGCAGTGAAGGGACTTGAGCTAGAGTTCGTCACGGCCACGCTAGCTGGAGATTCGTCTGTAAAAACTTGCATTTGTGGTCACAGAGGTGCCTTTGCTAACTTTCCTATGGTGTTGAAATATACCTAGTTGGATGAATCTTATTGTGGCTAGCTGGTCTAGTGGCTAGCGCGACGGGCTGGAGTTTTGAGACTCTATGACCGCGGGTTCAATCCCGGCCGGGGGTATGGTTTATTTGCAATCGTGTCATTACGATTTCTTAAGTCAAGTCTTGATTTGCCGGTACTTCCGGCCCGGGTCTTCTCCAGATGGTGACCCGGCGGTGGCCCCCGGGTTGGGGGTGTCGTTCATCATCTTCTTTCTTCTGTCTTCTTTCTTGGGCCCTCCGGGTGGAGGGTAACATCGTCTTCTCTCTTGCGGTGACTCCCCGGGGGGGAGTGTCGTCTCACTTCGCATCTTTATCAGCAGGCGTCCACTTGGGCTTCATCAGCAGGCGTCCACTTGGTCTTCATTAGCAGGCGTCCACTTGGGCTTCATCAGCAGGCGTCTCTGGGGCCCAGGGTCTTCGGGCACTTGTTGCCCCAACAATTATTGGTT